AGTATTGAAATGAAACTGCTCCAACAAGTCCAACTAAAGTTATTCATGGCCTAGTGAGCTCTGCTCTATGAGTGTTATCGTCATTTGTTCCAGGCTGACTAGGTAGATAGGTAATATCTGAGTCAGGGGAGTTGGAATAATAAATCAAATGTAAAGCACCAAAGTTATAACGACCTAATATTTCGCCGGACCGCTCAGATATAATCATTGAGGAAGTAAATCTCCTTCAAGAACAGAATTTGAGAGATTTTCAACTCAATTGTTTACAATTTGGTGATTATGCTTATTATGGCATATCCTCTGTCAATTATGGTGATATTATAATGATGATATCAGCAATAAACACTGATAGAGAACTATTCCTCAAAGTGACTTGTTGAAATAACAGGAACATCACGAATTTGTCTCCATCATTATTCATCCATTCTGGACGCGTGAGTTTTACCCTCATTCCCAAGATGAGAAATATTATACAGAGTAGCACAGCCAAACATAGACACTCTGGAACAACTGAATCAAGAACTCGCACCGTTTCACTCCTACAATATAGGATGTGTGCATCTCCTTTTATTGGAATGTGTACTGCTCAAAAAATGTTCTTTCATAGTTAGACATATGATGGCATGAAAGTTGTAGCGACAAGGGACTTCATCATTGGTTACATATCCACTGATATCCATAGCGGAAATATTATACGGTGAGCCACGACGCATCTCTGAAGACGTAACGTTAGACTAGCCAAAGAAGACCAGGGATGAAAGGGAGCAGATGAAGGCGTGATTCTACTCTCAATCCAAATATCAGGAGGTTGTTTTTCTTTTGTTTTCTTTCTTCATATAATAATTTGGACTTCGAAACTGTGTTCTCGTTTTCCAGTACTGATACTTTCTGCTACAACTCTGTGACGTCTAAATTTTGAGTAGCATACCATCGAAATATATTTCCGTCATGCTCATATCCAAATGTGAACATTTATTTTTCCATAAAAACTCGCCGATGGCGAAAAACATTTCATGTACATATCAATTATACCAGGAAAAATATGTATGTATTAATGAAAGTTTCGTGCAATTCCTTCTTTCGTCCAAAATTTTTTTCATGATGAAGGAGTCAAAACATTGTGAAAGTGTAAACTGGACCACGATAGCAATTTTCGCAGTGTTCATTTCAATGGACAATCATCAAAGTAGCTCCAACAAAATTATTGAGATATCATTGAAACCATACTCGGTTATGTCTCAATTTTGGTCCTTGCTCGATTGAGTTGAAAATTCACTCTTCTTGACTCAGTGAAATGGTATTTGAATTAATAGAGATGAAAAATCTGAGTTGTCCTTCGATTGAATTTGAATAAATTCCAGTTTTGAGATTTTTGAGTAACTCCGAAGTCATTGCTGATCATACAAAATATTTAATCTAAGTTTTTATATCCCCTTTACATATACTTATTGTATGATTCGAAATCCAATTGAGTACGTTTGAATTCCTTCTGTTTGGAATATTCATAATATCGAGTAGATATGGAATAACGTTCAGAATTCATTGACAGTCAACGTAGATTTCGATACAATAAGTAAATCACACTGTAAAAGCAAAACTATCGTATTCATGGCATCAGTGTATGAAATGTTCGTACGGTCGATCTGGTCTCGAAATCACGTATAGCTTCCTCTCGCTGCAAGTATCTACATTAAACATCTGATACAAGAATATATCCATCAGAGCAAATATATCCTCACACAATTTTCACGAAATTCTTACAACCATGACATGTTTCGCTATCAAAGTAGATTCTTTAAGTAAATTAGGTACCTACTCGTGCATTTGTACTATAGTAGAGGATCCCAAGTAAGGTCGATCTTCACTCATCTGCTTACCGGATGAAAATAATAATTTATCAAATGAAATATATTTCTGAACATGTACTTATAGGGTTGCCATAAATGATATCTTCATGACTATGATGAATAACAATTTTTAAAAATGATTTATTCTCAAAGGAAAGCATATAACATATAGAATATGGATCAGTTAGTTTCCTTATATTTCTCTGGTCCCTATAACCAGGTTGCCGTGTAGAAACAGGCAAGGGGATATTAATAATTGCACTCATATGCTTGCCACTTGTGATATCTATCAAAATGAAGGCAATTTTATAACGAATACAGTAGTATAGGGTTGCCTTTTTTATGTTCTGGTTCCCACGGAAAGGGATATCCTGTTATGTTCAAAGAACATCGTGAGAACCAAGGGAAATAAGGTAGGAATTGGTGTTCTTTCTTAATTTCTGGAGGTTATATGCCTCAGGGAACACCTCTTTTGGCAATGTGTTCCAGAGCCTGGCTGTTCGTTGGATGAACGAGTCTTTGGAAAGAGATGTTCTGCAGGTCTCCAAAGTGACCACGAAGGGGTGCGAAGCCTCAACTCGACGGGTTGATTCCGCGGGTACTGCCAAGGATGGAACAATTGTTGATACTTCTGAAGAGCATCGTCCATGGAAATATCTATAAATTAGAGCCAGATCGCCAACTTTTCTACGGTGTTCCAGAGAAGTGACCGAGTTTGTGAGCGAGGCATCACCCACGAGACGGATTGCCCTTCTTTGGACAGAATCCAACAGTTTCAGGGTATGTTTGGGTGCTGCACTACAAATATGGAAACAGTATTCCAGGACAAGTCAGATCTGTGCCTTATAGATCATAAGCAGCTGACTGGAAGTGGAATAGCTCCTGGCACGAAACAGAAAACCAAGTTTTTGGGATGCACTTTTAGCAATTGATCTCACGTGATTTTCCCAAGAAAGGTTATTGCTGATAGTAATACCAAGCATCGAAATGGATGTCTCAAAAGGTATGGTTACTCCTGAAAAGCTTATGTTGGGCACAGTGAGATCGGCTTTTCTAGATAAAAGGCATGCTTGTGTTTTGTTTGCATTGAAATCTACCAAGTTATTGGATCCCCATTCGAGAATTGTTGCCAAGTCCATATTTATGTTGTCAACATTTCTTCCTCGTTCATGAGTAATGGTTGCCAGTAGTATCACATGCAATATTCATGGGCTGTTGAAAATAGTTATTTATTATGCAAGGCAAAAAAGTGGTAGATTTTAGCTCCAGGTTGTGTTGTCTCCTCGCGTAGCGGAGGGAGCTAAAATCTAATATTTTTCCCGTGTATATAACACTATTTTTTTCTGTGACAGAAGAAAGAACGAATCAATATCGAGAAGATATCACATTATTTTGAAATCTGAAAATTATCGACGTGAAATTTCAAGTTTTTAATAGTAGGGACACCTGCGTTGTAGGCATCTTTATCATTCTTTTAAAGTAATCAAATATCTGATGTCACGTCTCTCAGTCTAATTCTGTGATTTGATTTCAAAAAATTCAGAATTTAGTGGTTGTTTACTAATACAACGAAACCGCGAAGTCGAATGGAAGATAAAAGGACTTGCAATTCTTTCTCGGAGACGGTATTATTGACTCATTTTTCGGAACTATAGCACAACAAAAACCATCAACAGTGTATATATATGTGATATATATCCGGGAAAAAAGTACTCACTTTTTTCCCACGGGGAATAAAGTAATTTATGGAAAGTGACATTTTATAACCTGCCAACAGAGATGAAATGCCAAACTTTTTTCCCCTCACAGAAAAAAATAATTTGAAAAACGATTGTATATTCAATTTGTTGATTCCTATGACAACGTATGCCCTGAGTGATGAGTTTCACAAGAGTTGATTCGACGTCAAGCTGATAGTTAGGTTATTGCATCTGGTCCTCAGACAAAAACATACCCAATGAATCAACCATTATTATTATAGCGAGTTGTAAAATTTCCATAGTTCTGATCAGTTCACTAGTTGTTAGGCATACGAATTCCACCTGGATAAACCTCGATCCCAATTAATCCCTACTGATATAAAGTGATTCTCCCAAGGTGGAGCTTATTGAAAAGCGCGGCTCGCTCGACTGTGAATTTTCGACGTAAAATCAGTAATAGATGTTTCATTTCCACAATCGAACTTCAAATACGGACGATTTTCACGAGAACCTTCCCAAATTAATTTTCGAGCATGAAAGACGATCAACGATATCCAGTGAAAAAGCAATTTGTCAGTCACTCGTTCTTCGTCAAAGTGCTTTGAGGAATCTCATTTCAGATGTCATTGTATACATACAGATGTAGCTCAAGTTAGTGTCTTATGTATGTTCTGCAACGCTGTGATATGGTGGACATCGGGAGTCGTAGCCTTCTGGTAATGACTTCCAATAAAATACAGGGTGTTATTTGAGTACGTGGCCAAACTCGAAGGGGTGATTCCTTGAGTGATTCTAAGACGAAAAGTTCATATAACCTAAGGTCCGGTAATGCTTCGTTCTCAAGATACAGGATGTTGAGATTTATAAAAGAAATAGTTTTTTCGTAAATATCTTGATGATTCTTCAGCCGATCTTGTTGAAATTTGGCAGTGTTATCAGGGGTAGAAAGAGATTGATTTAGTCTCAATTAGATTGGAATCAGCATGTCCAGTGGCGCCTCGGAAGGCACCTCAACCAATATTTTTGACCAAAAAAATGTCCGCCACTGATTTTTTGCAATTTTTGTATTGTTTTTTCACATTGGCAACTGATATTACAACTTTTTTATACATTCAGCATTCCGTATCTTGCTTTGTTTTCGAGAAAAATCATAAAAATCACATACGGATACGAGATTCATGTGATCAGATGAGACATAAACCGGAAATATTTCAACGTGTTCGGCAATCGATGTTGAGACGAGGTAATGCTTGCATTGAAGTTGGAGGAGCAACTATTGTAATTTTTGTGTTACTTATCGTTGAATGTTTCCTTACTGAAAAAATTTGCGTACCATTTGTTTAAGTTTGGTTTCAATAAAGGGTTCTTCTTCTTTCGTTTGTGAAATTTTTAACGTGAAGTAACGGCTGAGTCAATTCAAAAATCGAGCTCTTTGCTGTAATAGTTTCCTCACCTGTAATAATTGAGGATCTGCGCAAAAACCCCTGGATGTCTATCGAAGAAATACTCATTCAGTATGGGATCATAGTTGGCCAAGGCCTCAGTCAACCTCGACAGTCTAGTAGCCGGAATCTTCTTGAGGGTGGCTTTGTAGGTCTCGTAACGTATTCCTCCCACGTTCAGTATGATGCGGTTCTCGCCATCCATGATGCCATGGCACTATGGGGTTGATGGCGGTATTTCTGTACCGAATCTGAAACAAAATAATTGATCGGCATCAGTTCTACTCTTTCAGAGCTGTCCCAAAGCTTTGTGCTTAGTGCTAGTCAAAACGTTTACAGCACTTTTGTACCCGTAAGCACCTCTTTTTCCGATCGTAGATGAAACGTTTAATATGTTTTTGATTTGATTCGATTTGATTCATTCATATTAATATGTGTGATACAATTCATATAGATTATAAGATTATAACATTACACCCCCACCAGAAGGACAAAACCCACCTAAGCAAGTGAATGCTTGTGTCTTGGTGTGCTCTTCCAACTCGTGTTGTTTAATGGTGGATTGGTGTATAAATTTTCTTTTATCTAATAATTAAAGTAGTTAAGAATTTTTTCTCTCATCTACACAGGCAAGAAAGTGAAGACATAAGTTCATTGTCTTCGTTTATGTGAAATACGAGGTGAAATATCTATTCATTTGGCGTGTTTTGTTGTATCAAAAGGACTGAATTTGTTGTTGTGAACACTGAACTGAGTGTTGACAAGGTTTGTGATTAATAGTGATGAACAATGGTGATTTATTGTGCCGCCTTTGGATGCAAGAACGAACAAGACAAAAGGAAATTGGCATCCTATGGGTAAGTTGAATATTGTTCTCAGATTTTTGAAACAAATTGTTCTTGAAATGATCATCAGTTAGGTATACAATGTTCCCAGTCTCAGAATATGCTCAAAAACTATACCTATATCATTTGTCGAAGTTAAATACTTCCATATTGATATTGAGTAATATTATTTATTGCAGTTTTCTATTCGGAAGACCAGACATTCTCGAATTATGGATAAAGGCAGTTCCTAGAGAGAATTGGACTCCAACTGAAAGCAGCAAGCTTTGTGGGGAGCATTTCCTGCCAACAGATGTTTTAGCCATACCAGGTACGGTACTGCTAGGTTTTTGAAAGCAGATACTGTACCCAGTATATTTTCATTTCCTCAGCATTTGTTACTAAAAAATGCTGATTCCTTCAGGAAAATAAGAAAACTCCTAGGTACCTAGTTGATTAATAATGAAAAAAAAGTATGTTTGCACCTCTTTAAAATAAAAAAAACTAGCAAGTAATTTGTTTTCAGGATGCATCTGTGGACGTTCATAACTTGGGTCCAAAGGATGAAGTTTCCCATGTTATTGACTTTGACTTGCCTACCACTTCCAGTTCCCAAGTTTCGAAGTTTATCAATAAAGAAACTCTTAGAGAAGGCCATTGTATTGAGGAGAAAAGTGAAGACACTGAGACAAAAAGAAAAAAGGAGAGACCTAAAAATTTCAAACATGAAGGAAGTAGGAAGGAGGAATAGGAACCTATGGAGATTATGCTCAAAATGCACTCAATACCATTCAAGAACCTCTTTTCAAATTTTTCCTATCGTTTTTCTTTTCCTTCTGATAGTTCTGAGACATTGTGCTTCGCTCACCCTGTACAATATATTGTGACATTTGAATAAAAATATATAATTTGAATTTTGTATTCATTTGACTTCCTGATCCTGTAAGAGTAAAATTGAAATTTCATTTTAAAGTCAATAAAAAAATCAGTAATAATTTTTTAATGATAATTGATTTTTTTTGTTTCGCCGAAGTGGTTGAAATCTTTTATAGACATCATATGGGTCCAATCCCCCATATGATAGTGTGGGAGTCCCCTCCATGGTATACCCACTAAACACTCCACCCCGTTGCAGGCTCCGACGACACTTAGGCCTAGTGGCCCATTGTATCTCACCTACATGCCGTTATCAATTTTACCACATACTCATGGTGCCTATTAAGGGCCACTTCAATATGAAAGACCCTTTTCGTTCAGGTTCCTGAAGATTGCTCTTCCGATCCCTGTTCTCGTCTACGAAGAAGGCCAAAAGTTTTCCTTCTCCTACGAGTGACGGGGCTGTTTACTCTGGGATGTCGCCCTGTTTCCCAGAGGCCCCGTTAGCGACACCATTCCTCGGTGCCATCCATCCATCGCCACGGGTTCCCACAGCTTGGATTAGGTTGCCAGAGCCTCGTTGACCAGTCCTCGACCACCTAGACAAACATCAGCAAATCGCCCCATCCCTGCCACAGACGTCCACAAATTGTCCCATCTGGCAGAAGATAGCAAAGTAGCAAAGATGGTCCCAAAATGCTTCAACCGTCAAGCGGCCGCGGCCTGCCTTCCCCACACCACTTGGTGGTGAGGTTGGGCTTGGAGGGGAAGAGGAAAAAAGAAGTTGGCCAAGAAAGGCCGATAGGAAGATTGAAAACGGAAGAGAGAAGAGGATATCACCCAAGACAAGTTGAAGTATGGTGAATATCCGGCTAGGGTACCTCGGGTTCACCTTTCCCGTACTCACAAGTTGTGAGCCCCTGAGGGGATGATAATTGATTACAACATTATCTTTTCTCCTAAATGAATATTTTTATTTAATCACGTTCACTCTTAAATAGAAGCAAAAAACGAGAAAATATTTCAAATTATGCGAGCGCTTCCCATTAGCCAACACAAGATAGAGAGAGATAGGTATCCGTAAACACTGCGGGTTGCCTGAAAAATATTTTTGTCTCACTCGTCGTTCACAGTGGGTCCCTTCCAGTTGTTGACATTCAGTTCATTGAATGATAATTGATATTTTGAGACGAGTGTACTTCACATTTCACCTACTAGGTTGTTATATGAAATCAATAGGATGGAAATTGAAATCGGAAATAGAAATAAAGTAATGAATAGGAAAAACAAATTGAGTTTGTTAGTTGAAAATACGAAGTATAGTCGGAGTCTCAGTGACAGAAATTTTGATTTTCAATTTGTTACTAGTAATTTTCATGATTTTCTGTATTTCCAGGGAGAGCATATTTTACAGTTTAGGCCCATAATGAAGAATAAACCTTTAAGTACGACTCTTTTTGAAATAAGGAATTTTGATAATGATAAATAAAAATCAATAAACAAATGGAGATTGTCTGAAGTCATGTTAGGTGAAAGAACAGTTATTGGAAAGAAGAATGTGCTTTAACGCATTAAAATTGGCTCCTCCTATTCCTCATAACTACCGACATACCTAATTTGTTTATAATAATTGATCAGTTATAAATAAAAGAATTAGCGGCGCATGAGACAATGTAGACTTCGATGTACATGCAATGACGAAGAGAACGCCCTTTGTTTTATTACAATCGAATCTTCTTTAGAGAATTGCGAGGTTCGGCCATATCATCGCCTAACCTTCATCGATTAATATGCCGTTATTGATTTCACCATATACGACCCATGGTTATCATATGAGGGCCACTTCAAATACCATCACAGTTACTGTAATAACTACCGCTCACTGAGGTTCGTGCATTTATTTCAGGTTCCTGAAGACTACTCTTTCCTTATCTCGTCCTTTGAAAACCCCAAAAGATTTATTTCTCCTGGTCCAGCTTCCTGCAGTCTGTTTGTAACCCCGTTTTTCAGAATTTTGTTGATTTCACCATATATCTCCAGAGCCATTAATCCCTTGTCACGGGTTTCCACAACTTGGGTAAGGTTGCCAAAAATGTTCCCATCTTGCACATAGATGTCCACAAAACTATCTCATCTGAGTGATTCGCACAAAGATGTCTACAAAATGCTCTATCTGCCAAGCAGCTGCGGCTTGTTCTCGCCGCACCATGGTGAGGTTGGGCTTTGATGAAGATGGAAACAAGAAGAGTTGGCCAAGTGAAGTCAATAGGACAGATTGAAAACAAAAGAGTAGAAAAGTGACCATCCAGGGCAAGTTGAAAATTGATGGGTATACGGCTAGGGATTACTTGAACTGAACCCATATTATTCAAACTTCTATTATTGAGTCGAACCCAACTAGAACTCCTGAAAATTGAAACGGTATTTTCGGTTAATTTCGGTTATCTCTCTCCATTAAAACTTATTTTTTGATAGTTGTGACTGGGTTGTGACTGATGTTGTGGTGTGGAACGTGGCGCATGTTGTGGGGAGGAGCGTGAGAGGGAGGCTCATGTTGACGCTTGCGTACTTTGTATTAGGTAGCAAAATTCATATTATGGGACATACCTCGAATACGACTGGAGAAATTTGCAGAATTAATAATGGAAAAGGTTTCCATGTGAATCGATCTCAAATGAAGAGATTGTAAAAAATGATAAAATCGAAATCAACTTTTTTCATACCAATTATCGATATTGTCTAAAATGAGGTATACTTACATTGGGCAAAGTTGATATTTTGGTACCTACTTTGTGTACTAGATTAATATCTGAAACTTGCATTCTTGGTTCTAGACCTTGCAAAACTCTCAATTAAAAATTATTTGTATTCCTAAAATTCATCATCAAAAGGTTTTCCATATTTCTTGCCAACGTTTATATACATACTGTATATAACGTAACGAAAACAACCCTCTTATCTGGAAAAGAAGGGCAGAAACTAATCGAGATTATATTCTGGACACCCTCACTGAATCAGAACCAAATATTTCAAATCTAACTTGGCTAGCTAGTCTGCCATGATTGAGGTCCCGAACTCTGTCCGCAGGAAGTTCAACTTCTTCTTGTTTTTTCATCCTGATGCCTGAAGTGATATTCCGAAAAATATACTTTATAGAGAGGTTTATTTAGACCGAGTTGAGTATGATTGTTTAAAAAATGTAGTCTCTTTTTTATGCAGAATAGTGTATTGTGCAACAAGTGGGGAAAGTTCAGAGTGATGCAAACACACGAGTGAGAAAAGTAATTTTTCCCACATGTTGCACACTATACGTTTTCTACAACTGCACTTATCCAAAGAATCCGAGTAATGTAACTTATTGGTATTCATTTTATAATGTGGCACTATGCCACATTGAAAATTGTGACCAAAGAGTAGACGCCTTTCCTAGTTCCTCAAAGTAATTCAAAAAAGTACACTTTCCGAAAAAGATCTAATTTCTGTTTTTTTTTTTTCAGATTCCATA